TACAAAAAGAAAAATCACCATCACCTGAAATACAAAAAGAGAAGTCTCCAACGATAGAAGCTGATAAAGAAAAATCACCATCACCTGAAATACAGAAAGAAAAGCCTTCTACGCTTGAACCTGAAAAGGATAAATCACCAACACCTGAAATACAAAAAGACAAATCACCTACGATAGAGGCTAAAAAGGAGAAATCACCAACGCCTGAACAACAAAAAGAAACAGCACCTTCGGAGGAAGCTAAAAAGGAGAAATCGCCTTCACCCGAAGTACAAAAAGACAAATCACCTACTCCCGATATTCAAAAAGAAAAGTCACCTACGATAGAAGGTGACAAGGAAAAATCCCCAACCCCTGAGCAACAAAAAGAAAAGTCTCCTGTGTTAGAGACTGAAAAGAGGAAATCACCATCACCTGAATTACACAAAGAAAAATCTCCTTCGATAGAAGCTGATAAGGAAAAATCACTATCGCCTGAATTACAGAAAGAGAAATCACCTTCTATAGAAGCTGATAAGGAAAAATCTCCATCACCAGAATTACAAAAAGAAAAATCTCTAAGTCCTGTAATACGGGAACAAAAGTCAATTTCTGTAGAATTGGAAAAGGACAAACCTGCAATACCAGAGTCGGTAAAACAAAAGTCTCCTACACCAGAAGAAAAGAAAGAAATATCTCTTATTCTAGAAACTGACAAAGATAAAATTTCTGTACAAGAGACAGAGAAGAAAAAATCGTTATCTCCAGAATCTGAAAAGAAAATACCAGAGAAAGATGAAGCTCTAATTCTAGAATCGCAAAAAGAAAAATCACCTTCTCCCGAATTACAAAAAGATAAACCTCTTTCTCCACAATTAGAAAAGGAAAAGTCACCTGTTCTAAAGGAAGAAAAGCCAAAATCTCCTACTTTAGAATTACAGAAAGAAAAGTCACCAACTCCAGCATTAGAAAAAGAAAAGTCTGCATCACCAGTAGAAGAAAAAGAAAAATCTGCATCTCCTATTGAAGAAAAAGAAAAATCACCAGAAAAAGAAACAGGAAAACCTAAATCTCTGTCACCAGAATTAGAGAAGGAAAAATCTCCAGAAAAGGAAACAGAAAAATCAAAATCTCTTTCGCCAGAGGTAGAAAAGGAAAAATCTCCAGTACCACAAACTGAGAAAGAAAAGTCGCCGGTACCTGCAACACAGAAAGAAATATCACATTCGCCTGTAACGGAAGAAATAAGATCTTCTTCCATTGAAAAAGAAAAGGAAAAATCTAAATCACCTGTATCGGAAAAAGAAAAATCCATTGAAACAGAAATAAAGAAAGAAGAAATAAGTACTACAGAAGCAGAGAAACAAAAAACGCCTTCACCAGTATCTGAAAAAGAGAAATCACCAGCATTAGCAGAAGAAAAACAGAAATCGCCTTCTCCAGTATTAGAGAAGGAAAAATCTCCAGCTCTAGAGACAGATAAACAGAAATCGCCTTC